ACATCGTCGTTTGAATTTTTAAAACTCTACAAACCCTCATGAATAGTGTTTTTAAGGGGGAGTTCAAAATAAATAAAAATTCTTAATAATTAATGTACAAGTTGAAAAATGTAAAAGAATATATAAACGTTCGTGATTGCATTCCCTGCGCTTAGACTATGGTTACATTGTCATTTAGATTTTTAAAACTTTCCAAACTCTCATGAATAGCCTTTTTGTTTGAGTACAAAATTAATAATTCATAATAATTACGTAGAAGTGTGAAAAATGTAAAAAAAAAAATATACGATCACTCGTAATGACAAACTTTACAATTTTTGTGAAGGCCTCAACTCTGAAATCCGCCACCATAATCCATAAACCCTTGATTTATATTTAACCATCGATTATCATTTATGTTGTATTCTTCTCACCGGATTTCGTTTCTCAAATTTTCTTTTTTGAAAACATCTTCTTTTAGCAAATGCAGAAAAATGAACAGTTCGGATCGTTGATATCACGTTCCGATGTTTAAGGTTAACTGAAATATGAACCGATGTTATATATTTTCTAGAGACTTTATAAACTCCGAGAAATATTTTCACCAACTGTAAAAATCTGAACGTGATATCAACGATCAAAAATGTTCATCTTTTTGCTTTTTCTAAAAAATCATATTTTCAAAATAGAAAATCTGAAGAAAAAAAAAACATTTTTTTGGTGAGAATAATAGAGCATAAATGTAAACTACAATCAACTGTTAAATTTAATCCTATAGTTCATAGGATTATAGTGGGTGGTATACAACCTAACTTGTTAACACATTAGGTATGTCATGAAAATAACATGAACACGAAAAACACGACACGAATATTAGGTCTCAATGTATGAGTACAAAGTAACTGTTTATATTACAATATTATCCACTTTCTATTGGCCCTTCCTTACAACTGTATATATCCTAATTTCAATTACAAATTAGTTCTCCCATGTCACACGTTTCTTCCTACCACCACACAAATTGTCTTTGAACCTTTTTGTGCAAAATTTTCAAGATACGGTTCAGTTTTCCTGTCTTTATATGCTACAAGCGCAAGAATTCTAAGATTACAGTCCTTTAAACAAATAGAGACGAAACAACTAATTAGAACTCAACATATGTTAGTATTAATTAAGAATAAAGACCAAATAACTAATTAGAACGTCACACCTAACATTGGTTTTAAATTAGCCACTTAATACTAAAATTTATTGGTATTTCTCGTCACTTATAAGTGAAAGGCTTTAGGTTCGATTCTCTCTAAAGGTGATTTTGAACTATATTATTTCTAGTTCATTGTGAAGCGTTGCCAACTCCCCCCTTATTGTAGATCGTTTGTTCAAAAAAAAAAAAACCACTCCTACTATAAACCTTCCTCGCACTCTAAAAAAATAAACTCGATATAAATATAAAATTAGTATTCAACGAAAGCTGACTACGCAATAACGAACAGATAAAATGTAAAGATCTTAAAGAATCCGGAGAGGATCTTGAGAGGATCTCATCCCGATTAAGGGTAAGAAAGATGCGACTCAAATTGCACACTCCTAAGACAGAAAGGTCATAGTCCATGATGTAAACGTCAATTGGTTGAAATTTTCCAGGTCCTGAAAGGGAAAGAGAATAATATTAATTTCTATTTTATTTTATTTTATTTTTAATAATATTTGAAATCCCCTTAATATTGTCCCCACACCGGAAGAGAGGGACTACTCCCCTTAATATTTCTCATTGTTTAATATGATTTTCGTTTTATTTGTGTGCTTGGAACTTGGAAGTAGTGGCAACTTCCTATCCTTTTCGTTCCACCGTAGTCAACACTCTGCCCCTTTTCACCAACGCGTAAGGTTTTTTGCTTTTGTTTAAGATTTAAAAATGTGAAGGTTTTCCTTTAACTCCTTTTAATTCAATTGTAGCTTACTACTAAAGGGCACTATAATTTTTGAAATTACTGAAGGGAAATTTATGATATTTGGTATTAAGATTAAAATTTGTGTGTTGAGCTTTAGGGCTAGTTGAAGTTGTTGTATTGTAAAAAAAAAAATGATGTTCTCAAGGATAGAGCTTCTTTGCTTTTTGTTCTTTTGGACTCATGATTTGATGAAAAACACTTCTTTTTAATTTACCAAACACAATTTTAGGATCAGTTTTTTTAAAAAAGTTGCTTTTAAAATAATTTCAGCAATGTCAAACTAGTCCTTAATCTTATGGAAAATTATATTCAAATCCTTGATAAAGATTACTTTTTGAATAAAACGTTGTCTAAGATTAAAAACTAACTCTAGTCCTTGGAATTTAATTGTAATTTTCAAATATTAATTAGGTTGTAAATTATATATTGATTCTCATAAATACTTTTTTTTTTATCTTTCATAATTATTATTAAGTTCATATAATAAGAACAGTCATATATTATCATCTATTTTTTGTTGTGCGTGAATTTTTCCACATATATATACGTGCATATTACGTACCTATGTTTAGATTTTATAATTACGTACCGATACATTCATATCGAAAATTAGACGGTTTAAATCATCGAAGTTCGATATAGAATGAGTCCTACAACTAATCATCATTTAAAAAAAAAATAAGAATCTCTTTCCTTAAAAATCTTCATGTACTATAAGTACTTAAATATAGTATGTTTTGAAAATAGGGATTTAATTTAGACTTTGATCATTGTAAGGTTTAGCCAACTCTCTCACCTTTTTTATCCCTTTGGTGTAATTTGTCAAAAAAAAAAAAAAAATCTAAAGAGAATCTTATTTAACCTCTAAAAGCCCGTTAATCTTAACGCTTTTGGGTACGCTCTTGTTATAAATGAAAGAAATGACAGCATCAACAGCGGTAGAAGGAAGTTGTTAGACGATGGAAATGGAGATGGAGATGGAGATGGAAAGCTATATGAAAGACAGCAATGTAGGTGTTGGTGTCGTCGGTGGAGGAGTAGAGACGCCCACTGACACTGCCAATCACAAGCTTGCTGCTCGGGTCCTCCCTCGCTCCCTACCCTCTCTCTCTTCCCCCCAGTCAATTAAGTTCATTAGTTCCTTTAAACAAAATTTCTGTATGCATGGTTACCAACTCAATTTTCGTATTTTATTTCAATTCCTGGCCTTGCTGGAGTCGTGGATCCCAGCCTTGATTTTTGGAGCTGTATGTCAACTTATAAAAGGTGCGTGCGGTACTGTTATTACTCTAAAAATCGCAAGTCTGTTGCCTGTTGGTTGGCTGTTTTTTTTCGTTATGTTACAGTTATTTATGTATGATTCCATATACGGTTGTGCAGCAAAAGGTAGTTGGGAGATTAACGAGACGAATACAACGGAGAAAGCAATTGCAACTAGGTACTACTGTCACAGGTGTCGTCATGTGGTCACTGTGGATGTCGAAACATCATGCCCTTCCTGCCAAGGCGCCTTCATCCAAGCATGCAAGGGTGTTGCCTCACTATACCTAGCCATGCCATCCGAGTCTGAGCTTTCTGAAAGTGGTTCAGATGGAGAGAGCACCACTGTAATTTATCCTTTGATCAAACTTTCCTTGTCTTAGCTCTTAAAACAGATATTTTCTTCTCGTATAGATTTATCATTTGAAATTTGAAATGAACTGTGAAGTAACCTTGGCGATTGCAACTCTTGATTGCAGGGTCTCTATGATTCAAATCCCAGTGGTTTTGTTACACTTGACATTAGTTCTTGCGATGTAAATAATGAGGTTGACGAGCAACGCCACGAGAAAAGGGTATTCGTCGAGAGTTTTTGTCAGCTGGTTTTTATCCTTGGGATGGGAAGGTTCTCTGTTTTCTAATAAAGAAAAGAGAAAATTATAAAAATGGTCTTTCAATTTTACCCAATTGGAGCAAAGGAGTATTTTTGCTCAGCACTTGTGAATGGTGGTAATGCTCATCATCTTAGAAATTTCGAAATTTAAAATTATCTAATGGTGATAAATAAGAGAATCAAAATCACTATCACTTAAGAGCGATGAGAAAAAATATTATGCGTTTGCTCATCACTAATAACTTTGATGGATGCTCACCACTCCTATCTAAGTCTACAATGTGTCATTTTTCTTAACCATAATAGGAATCTCTTCAAATTTAACTAGCATATGCCCACACACTTTGTATGTGTGTGGACCATTTGTATTTTTATTTCTAAAATGAGATGAAGAGAAAGGGAGAGAAAGTGAAAATGAGGATGTGTTTTTGTTTTTGTCTTTTAAAATGAAGATTTGTTTTTGTCTTTTAAAGTGAAAATGCTTTTGAAAAAAAAAAAAAAAAACTTAAAATTTAGTTTATGCAAATTATTTTGTTGTCCATAATTTTATTTTGTAATAGAAGACAAATGATTTTTATTCTCTTTTGATGACAAATAAGGTTTCATTAAAAGTAATGTTAAGTAGATTAAATTTGTAAACCAAATGATATGTCACTAACAAAAAAAAAAGTAATAAACTAATTATCAACTTTCATATCTTTAATATACAAAATTCAGCATACATATTTAGTCTTTTTAGTATTACTTTTTCATTCAAATGTAATTTAGATATGCTATTTAAATTAATATGCGGTTTAGAAGAGGAGAGAGAAAACAATTTATTTTATTAAAAAATTTGTGTGTCCCTTCTTCTTTTGCCAGATCAAAAGCCATTAGCTGCTTCATACCATTACCTTTTTCGGCTTCCCTGAACCATGAACCATCATCTTCTTCGTCTTCCCGAAGCAACGATTTCGAGAACCATGAACCAAATCAAAAGGAGTATTGGATTTTTATTTTTTTATTCAAGAATACGTAGAAAGTCGAGACTCGCAAAGTAGTTTCGAAAAAGTTCTGGCTCTTCTCCGAAGATGCTCCCAGGAGAAACAAAAAACAGAGTGAGAGAAGATGACAGCAGGAGAACCTTCCCATTCCAACTAGAGAAACAATTTTTCAACTTTAACGCAATTAAAGCAATGGTTCCTTAACTTTTGACATGACTCATTATAACGAAATTTAGATAGAGTTGGTAAAAAAATCATAGCTACACGTTTTCATGGGTGAAGAGATAAATCACCATAGATTTTTAGTTGAAAGATCGTTACTGTAGTTGAATTAAAATTAAGGAACCAATGCCTCAATTTTCTCAAAAAAAAAAAAAAAAAAAAAAGAACTGAATTGAAGTTGGTATAACTTATGCAGGCTACTTCATCAGAGCGGATCGTGTTATACACTAGCTTTGCCATCGAGAGTCTGTCTGCTTTTTTTGATCAGGTTTCCTCCCCCGGTAAGCCTCACTATGCACTAATTGGTATGCTGTTGGCAATCGTGGCAGTACTTGTTTGCATCTGGGAGCTTGTTCACAATGGTAAAAAGGAAAGAGTTGTATTGAGGAGGAGGGGAATGCTATGGTGCTTTTACTATCCACCTCCAAATAACAAACTTTTTGGTTCATTCGCCGAAATTACTGGATTAAGTCTTGGCATTGCTCAATGCATTTGCTCGGCAGTGCAGTATCATTTCATTCATCGCCATGCAATTAATCCTATGAAACTGTCCCTCTTGCCCATCGCATACCTATTCGGTTTGGTTGTTTCGAAATTAGTTCAGAATCACAGGCTCACCGTTGCTGACACCCTTCAGAATGGTACTTAAGCAACGACTCGATGGAGCAGCAGAAAGTTTTCTTTGCGGGGAAGCATGCCTTGAAGTTGTCGCCTGTAACCCTTTATGAAAGCTCGTATATAGCTTCTCTGTAGAAATAAAGATCATTGTTCAATAGATCATCGAGTTCTTTTATGTTTAGCAGTATTAATTGTTGGGAGTAGTCATTAGATTCTACAATTGTCTGCTCACATCGTAGTCCTACAAATTGAGATGTTTGCCTTAAATGGGATTCTCGTAGGTCTACTCAATCAATCCGGAAGATCTGAAAGTGAATTAAAAAGAGAGGTTATAAATAGAACTTGATATACATAAATTCCCCACGATCTGAAAAATGAATAAGAAAAAGCAGTTGATATAAATAATTATCCAAATAAATACCTACCACATTAGGTTTAGGCCACAATATGACTGATATGAAACGGTTGAGTTGAGCTATTTTCCGAATTACCGTTTTCCGATGAAACCTCTTAACTTTTTATTTTATTTTTATATAGTATCAGAGCATGTTGATCTACGTGTACTCCACATTACCCAATTCATATTATCTACGTATTTGATTTGAAAAATTATGATATGTTAGAGAGCATGTGAAAATAAAAAAAATATAAAAGATAAAAACAACCTTGCAAAGACTTACAAGAACTTGTACTACTCTTTATATTTTCAATTGATTTTACTGTGGAATCCAACTTCATTCAAGAGACAGCAGGGATCAGATCTCTACATTGAGCATCCAACTTCTTCCAGGGACTATATTTACATACCTTTTCACTATTGCCAAAGGAAAGCAATTTCATACCTTTTCAGTTTTGTTCTCTGGCTGGCTGTATAAGATCTCAACCGCCTTCTCTGGTTGTCTCTCTTGTCACCAGGTCTGTCGACCGAAGTTCCACCGCTTTTGGGTTCGAGATTTTGGCAGAGGATTAGAGCTGAGAAGAGAGAAGGTTCTAGCGTTTATGTCAAAGACAGCGCTAGGGTTTCACCAGAGAGATGAGATGAGCAGGTAAGTTCTGGAATTGGAGGAACCAGCATCAATTGAGTTTGAGTTTGAGTTTTTATAGCCCGATGTGTGGGGTTGCACGTGTTCACACCACATCAGGTCCCGTCTTAAATATCAGTTGCTTTCTTTCCTGACGTCATTTTTTACGTCAGCGTCTTTTCGCCGATGTGTGTCAGCGTTTTTTGGCCTTTTATGTTTTTCCTTCCTTCCCATCTGCGACGCGTTACTTGAAGTACTTTGTTATCGTCTTTGTCGTGGGATCCACCCACGTGGGATTTCTTTGTCTCCGCGCAATTTCCTCGCTCTTTCTTTTTTTTTTTTTCTCTCTCTATCTGCAAAAATAATACATAAAGTTGTAATTGTACGGAAATTTTATAGGATAAATTGTAATTTATCCAAAAAAAACTCTCATATAAATACAAAACTGAAAACTAATGTTTTTTAAGTGATTAAAGGTGAGGACCTACCGCTAGATTTAAACCGACTGAGAAAGATGTTTAGACAAACTATAATCGATGAGAACCGATATATTTTGTCGAAATTTTCCAGTTCCAAAAAAGAAAAGGAGAATAAATATTAATTTTAAATTCAACTTTCTTTATTTTTAATCATATTTGTTGTTCCCTTAGTATTTTCTGGTAAATACCACGAAATATACCTACAACCGCAGAATGTATTGTTCATAATATTTTTTTGTCAGAGAGTAAATATTATTAGATATGAATTGATATGTTTATATTAAAAATCAAAGAGTTAAACAACCATTCCGGTTCAAAGTAATCTCACGTATGATAACTCAACACACGTTAAACATAAGACGTCACATCATGCGTTCTTTGAATGCTGAATATTCCGAATAATACTTTCAATGACGCACATCTGATATTAGGATTGAACTTTTTCAGAGCCTTAGTGCATCCTCTCTTTCTATATATGGAAGAGAGAATGCTGTCGACTTTAAATGCATTAACTGACGGGGAAGGAAGTTGTTGTAAGATGAAAACGGAGACGATGGAAGGCTATCTGAAAGACAGCAATGTTGGTGTCGATCTCGTCGTTGGAGGAGCAGTGACGCCCACTGACACTGCCAATCACGAGCTTGCTGCTCAGGTCCTCCCTCTCTCTCTCTCTCTCTCTCTCTCTCTCTCTCTCTCTCTCTCTCCAATCAATTAAGTTCATTAGTTCCCCTATACCAATTCTATGTGCACCATTACCAACTCATTTTTCGTCTTTTATTTCAACTCGCAGGCCTTGCTGAAGTTGCGGATCGCAGTCTTGATTGTTAAAGCTGCGTATCAATTTGAGGAAGGTGCGCGGTTCATCCAACCATGCGAGGGTGTTAACTCACGCTACCTAACCAGGTCATCCGAATCTGAGTTTTCTGAAAGTGGTTCAGTTGGACAGGTGCGCACCATTTTAATTTATTCTTTGATCAAACTTTCCTTGTCTTAGCTCTTCAGCAAACATTTTCTTCTCGTATTGGTCTATCCTTTGAAATTTCAAATCAACTTCGAAGTAATTTGGGTGATTACAACTCTTGATTGCAGGGTCTCTATAATTCAAATCCCAGTGGTATTTTCACACTTGGCATTGACTCCCGCGATGAAAATGATGAGGTTGACGAGCAACACGACGAGATACGGGTATTGGTCTAGAGCTTCTGTCAGCTGGTTTTTATCGAGAACTATGTATATATATTCAATTTTAAATAAAAAATTTTACAATAATTTCTGATCGCACCATGTACAATCAACGAATGTAATTGAAAGATTCTCAGAATCCTTACAAAGAAAATTTAGCGAAAATTCTGCTGGGTTTTTATCCATGGCATGGGAAGGTTCTCTATTTTCTAATTAAAAAAAATTGTAAAAATATCTCTCAATTTTATTCTGATTGGAGTAAAAAATAAAACATTGTTTTATTAGAGAGTAATGCTAAGAAAAACAAATTTTTTAAATCAAAACGTGTTTGTTTCTTATTGGTGACATATCATTTAATTTGCAAATTTAGTTTAAAAATTTTAAGCTCTCTAGTATTACTACTTTATTAGAATGTATTTTAGCTCACCACCTTCAAGTGGTGATAGTTTTCACCATCCTAATTATTACTATTCAAAAAGTTTAAATTTTAATATTTATGTTTATGTATTACATAAATTTCAAGATTTAAACTTATTTAACAATGACAAATAAAGTGAGAATCATTACTGTCCATATCAAATTTTGAACATAAAATTCAAATTTGATAGCCTATGTGGTATTTTAACATCTTTTAAGTTTAACTTTCCGTCCGATATGTCAAATTAAATTATTATTTTATTCATTCCAACATAAATGATTAAATGAATAAAAAATTAATAAATGACATTTAATTAATTCTTAAATTGCCACCAACAGAAGAGATAGGATCTAAACAAATGCACGGTCAACATTCAACGTTAATTATAATAATGATTAAATTAATAAAAAATTAATAAAAGACATTTAATGATTAATTAAAAATATTTGAAGCTACTATCAAATTTGACAGCAACTTCTTAGCGGCCAATCCATGTCAGCACCACATAGAAATTGGCATTTCAGTTGAAGAATATTAGTGTGGTCTTTTATTACTGTTATAATTTATGTAGGCATTTTGACATCATGGTGAGCAAAAATAACTTAGGTGGAGACCCCCTACTCCTTTCTGTGTCTGCCACGTGCATTTTTTAACAATAATTTTTCTTTTAACAATCCAACAATTGGCAAGAATCTCTTAAAATATTAATTTTATTAAAAAATTTGTGCGTCCCTACTTTTTTTCCCAAATGAGAACCCATAGCTGTTTCATACCATCATCCTTTTCGGCTTATTCGACATGACTCATTTTATCGCAATTAAAGTAATCATCCTTCAATTTTCTAACATGACACATGTTAATGAAGTTTTAATGGAGTCTATTAAAAGAATTATAATTGCACGTTTTGATGAATTAAGAAATAAATATCTATAAATTTTAAATGGAGAGACTGTAATTAAGTTAAAGGATGAAAAAGCAATGCATCTTTTTTCTAAAAAACAAGAACTGAATTGAAGTCGGTATAACTTGTGCAGGCTACTCCATCAGAGTGGATCCTGTTATTGACTAGCCTTATCATCGAGATTCTGTCTGCTGTTTTTGATCAGGCTTCCTCCCCAAGTAAGCCTCACTATGCACTAATTGGCATGCTATTGGCAATCGGGGCTGTACTTGTTTGCATCTGGGAGCTCGTTCACAATGGTAAAAAGGAAAGAATTGTACTGAGGAGGAGGGGAATAGTATGGTGTTTTTACTATCCACCTCCAAACAACATGCTTTTTGGTACATTCGCTGAAATTACTGGATTATGCCTTGCCACTGCTCAATGCATTTGCTCGGCAGTGCAGTATCATTTCATCCGTCGTCATGCTACTAATCCTATGAAACTGTCCCCCTTGGCTGCCGTATTCTTTTTGGGTTTGGTTGTTTCAAAATTAGTTCAGAATCACCGGTTCACCGTTGATGACACCCTTCAGAATGGTACTTGAGCAACGACTGGATTCAAGGGATCATAAAAATGTTGTTGGAGAAAAAGACAGACACTAGAAAGGTTTTTTTTTTTCTTTTTTCGCGGGGAAACATTCCTCCAAGTTGTTACCTTTACACTACCATGAAAGCTCACATGGAGATTAGATTCCGTAGAAAAAGAAGATCACTGTTCAAAAGATTACGTACTTGTTTCTTTTAATCACATCTTTTTTTATGTTTGGCAGTATTGATTAAATTCTGCATAAAGCATAGAATTCTAGAACTGTCCAAACACATCCTAGTCCTACAAAATTGAGATGATTGCCTTAAATGGTCTGAAAATGAATAAAAAAGAGAGGTTAGAAAATAGAACCATAAATTCCCGATGATCTAAAAAAAGAAGTTGATATAAATAATTATCCAAATAAATATCTACCCCATTGGACCCAATTGAGCATCCATCTTCTTCCAGGGACTATATTGACGAAGAGAAGCAATTTTATACCTTTTCAGTCTTGCTCCGTGGCTGGCTGTTGAGTCTTTCCCCTGTTTCGGGTTCGAGATTTTGGCAGAGGATTGAACCTGAACTTTGGGCTTCGAAGCAGCAGAAAAGCTGAAAAGAGACAAGGTTCTAGCCTTTTGCTCGGGACGACGCTGGGGTTTTCTCACGGAGAGGAGAAGAGCATTTGGGACATTTTGGTTTTTATAGTTTCTACATTTGGTGCTCCGTCAAGTCTATGTGTGTCGGCGTTTTGTCGTCTTTGCTGATTTTACTTTTTCTTTATTTATTTGTCCAGAGGATGCTCTTTTATTTGAATTATTTTATTATTTGTTTTTGTTGAGTCTGTGCCGTGGGACCCGCCCCATGTGCGACTCCTTTCTGTTTTCTTGCTGGAGAAATTTTTATTGTTGTTTATTGTTGACTTCTGCCCCATTTTCATATTGAAAATTCTCTCGCCCTTTCTTCTCTCCGTCTGCAACGCGTTATTTGGAATTATTTATTGTTGTTTTTGTTGACTTCTGTACCATTGGACCCACCCACGTGGACTAACCGTTCATCCCTCCGGTTTTCTCGCTCTTTCGTCCGTCCTTCTGCAACACGTTATTTAGATTGCTTTGTTAGCCCTCCGTTTTCCTCGCTCGCTCTTTCTTCCCTCCGTTTGCAACACATTATTTGGAAGGCTTACTAATATTGTTTAGTTGACTCTATACCGTGGGATCCACCCACGTGGAACTCCTCCGTCACCCTTCACCGCTCAAAATCAAAACGGAATCAAAACGGAGGTGGATTGTCTCTCCCATTTTCATACTCTCTTCATGTCTTTTTGTTTGTGAGGTCATAATTAAGCCACGTCAACATTTTATATTCTTATTACTTTTTATTTTATGATTTTTATAAAATGAAAATGGGAGAGCAGACAATCCACCTCCAATTAAAAGACCCCCCGACGAGATTCCCTCCCTCTTTCTATCTTCTCCGCATCTACACCGCATTATTAGGAATTACTTTATTATTGTTTTTAGAAAATTTTTAAAATGTCATATTAACTTACATATTTTTTTAATTTGTCATATAAATAAAAAATTTTAGTAATTTGTTATACTAATTTTTAAAAATTATTAATTTATCATCTTATTATAACTCTTCTTAAATTTTTCATTCAAAATAAATTATGTGTAACATCCCATATCGTTCAGGGGAGTGGATCATGTAAGCTTTATAGGTATATTCTCATCTTTACCTAGCACGATGCCTTTTGGGAACTTACTGGCATCGGAGTTCCGAGTTCGCGCAAGAGCAATCCTATGATGGGTGACCCACTGGGAAGTTATCGTGTGAGTTCATATAAGGCTTACATGATCCACTCCCCTGGACGATGTGGGATGTTACAATCCATCCCCCTTAGGGGCTTAACGTCCTCATCGGCACACACACAGCCAGGGTTAGGCTCTGATACCAAATTATCACATCCTGGCTGGGGTCCCACCACATCCTGGGCTCAACTCCACCGTATCACGATATTGTCCGTTTTGGGCCCTAGACCATGCCCTCACGGTTTTGTTTCTGAGAACTCACACGAGAACTTCCCAGTGGGTCACCCATCATGGGATTGCTCTCGAGCGATCTCACTTAACTTTGGAGTTCCGATGGAACCCGAAGCCAGTGAGCTCCCAAAATGCCTCGTGCTAGGTAAAGATGGGAATATACATATATGGCTTACATGATCTACTCCCCTGGACGATGTAAGATGTTACATTATGTGCTTTGATTCAAATATAATTTATGTTCAGGATTCTTTCTATCGTAGGGAAAGATTAAAACTTTTTCATCGATATCCTGCTTATGACTCCTAAAAGTAAGCTAATATTGGTGGAAGAAAAGAAGGGAACTATAAAGTCCTAAAGACCAAGGAAGTGGGCATGAGTTCTTTCGACTGCAGAGTTTGCCTATAAAAATGATGTGAATCAGCCGCTTCACAGGAACAACAAAAACCACCATCCTGCTCTTTCTTTTTTTCTGTGCTACCTTTTTCTTTCCAAGGCATAAGGGTTGGGATGTATAATAACCTTTTTTTTAGGATGCCCGAGAACAACTCCTAGGTCAATTAAGGATCAAATGTTGGAACCTCATAGGTAAGGTCTGGATTTGTTATAGTGCCACCATTTCACAATATACATTGTCCGGGAAAGCAAGTTTTGGGATTTCAGTTTTGTCCTACTGACGTTCTTCTATGAAAGTGGAGGCTTTACTTTAATTGGTTTGTTAAAATCTCTTTGTTACGCAACAAGCAGCCCTTTATATAAGGTTATAAACCTATCTTACTAATAATAAGAAAGGGGCAAGCCAAAACCTACTCCTAACAAGTTGCTGGCTTTTCAACCACTGCGTGCTAGCCTTTTACTAGTAAAAGGGCTACACTACATACTTTGCATAACCGTTTCACCTAATGGCCAGTTCGGTACTCGATATTCAGGTGCAGGTGTGAGCGCTGTGCTAAGGTAGCTTGGTTGCGATCAACCAAATCGAGAAAGAAGTAGGTAGTTGACCAAAGGAATAGTCTTTTTAGATTCGACCGATGGGTGAGGGAAAGATGAACGAAATTGAAATGCATATGGGAGATTCTTCCTTTTACCATTCAACCGAACAACTCATGATTCTATTGATTCAGACCAACTTATCTATTTCATATGAAAATTAGAATCTTCATAAATGGGATAGTTCATCAAGTCACTAATATCTCTAGAGTTTGCCCTAAATAAGGGGGGGGGGGAAACCGTAAGGAGAAGAGGCTGGCGGTCAACCTCTTGGGGCCATGGGGTTGGCATCACCCTTGTGCAGCCCTTGGTTAATTGTATTGTTTCTTTCCGTCATACTCATTATCGTTCCGTCAAAGATCCCGAAAGCGGTTGGAAAAAAAAAACCAAAATGAGCCATCATTCATGGGCTAAGCCTTTACTAATAGGCATTTTCTCCCAAGAGAGAACCCCATTTTCAAAAGTAGGGACTCAATTAAATCCATTGAGCTAAGTTTCAGACAAAGAAGATAGAAAATACTAGACACTGTTGTTACAAAGAGGAAAGACATCGCAACCTTTGAACCTCTTGCAATCACTTCTCTTTGAATTAACAAAGGTTTATATGCTAAAAAGTGATGAATGGTAAACAAGTTTACATAAGGGAATCGATACTACGCCACTAAGGAAGATATCAGAGCTTTAAACTAGACAAGAGATAACTTGTCGCTAAAAATGACTGAATCTGGGTTGATTTCAGCTTTTGAATGCAAATCTGGCTTGAGAATAGAGTTTATATGTTTGTTCATTTAATTGGTTGAGTGTCTTTGTCTCTGGGGCCTTTTCCTCCTTTTATAAGCCAATTAGCTCGACTGCTGTGACTTTGCTCTTGCCCGAAAGCATACGAAGGGTAGTGAGTCATCAACCTTTTTACTTGTAATGCCACTAGAAAGTGTTCTTTGGCTGGTAATAGGTTAGTCTTCATTACTTGTCTCTTCAATGGTAAGAACGTGGCTTATATCTTGGCTGAGAAGGCTTCACTTTGCCTTTGGGCTTAGTGCTGGGCTTCGAGCAAGTCCCTTTTTAGTTAGCATCCCTGGGCTTTCCTTTATCTAGGTTCAATGTTCAAATATTAACCCAAACAGTGCCCCCTTTAATCATTGTTGAGTTTGCAACCCAAGACGCTAATAATGATTAAATAGCCGTCACATTCATTTGCTCGGGACTTGCACTATTTAAAGTAGCTGTTGGTTAACTAAAACCCTTGCCCTAACCCATAAATTCCATCGTTAATTAACCACTTACAATATAATCCTCACTTAAACTCCTCGGCAAAGTACTTTAGCCATTTCGAGCCTTCAAATTCCCAGAACTCTAAGAACTTTCAGAAACTTCTCTCGTTCTTCAGTTCTTGCCCCATAATTCCAATTTTCTTCCCATCTTCTCCTCAAAATAATCCAATGGCATCCAAAGTTGCTTGAACTCAATCTCCTTATGAGACTGGTAAGGGGATTACTACCATGCGCCGTTTGCTCAACGGCCTTCATAGCCCTTAGGCACGCCTGCACACTGAACTTTTCTTTGATGAGGGAAGTGTACACTCCTAAGGGCCTGTATGGACATCTCAGGTCGCTGTAGCTATAGAAAATAACATACCCAAAGAGAAATGGTTTACACCCAACCCATTTCAGGCTAAGTTGGGCATTTCGTCTTCTAAATAGTCAAACCATCATCATGGCTTCCCATTTATGAAGGATAAGGCATGGACACAATGAATCAACGAGCTCGAGCCTACCTTCAAGCAGAAGTGGATGAATAACGAAATGTTTGAGTTGATAACCTTCTCTAAGACCACGGTCATAACCAAGCCTGAGCTACTGACAATTGCACTCCTCTTCTGGAACTCGGGCACCAACACTTTTGACTTCAGGATAGACCTCATGTCTTCTACCATCTTTGACATGGCACAGGTCAACGGGCTAAGGCCCTCGAGCAGGGTCCTAGATGTTACCCATGACTGGGCTCATCCTTGTCGCCCAACCACTGAGAGCTGAGGTAGCTCTGGTCCCATAATTTAATTGGAATATAACTCTGCAACTTTCAAGAGTTATGGAACTTCCTTCAAGGGTTCTATTTCATTTGCCAAGAAGAAATTTGGCCCATCTTCCTCCAACGCCAACAGAGACCAAAAGCATATGTACTTTCTACTATACTAGCTCAATAAACACACCTTCCCAAACAAGTCCAAGGGAGTAAAAGTTGAATGGATCCCTCTGGTAGTAGTACTACACAACTTCAATGATGTGGCTACGGGCCCTTTCCTTCTCTCTCATCTCTACCATCTCTTGTATGAAATTACTAAGGGTGAACCGTTCGAAAGCAATCATAATGGTCCAACTTGGATGATTCAACTTTGGCTTCAATGGTATTTCCCCGAGCTTTGGGCTCCCAACCTTGAGTTTCCCTAGGATGTTGCTCTTACCTGAATTCTAGCCAAAGGTTTTCCAACCAATCACTCTACATTTGGTTATCTCTATTTCTTCAGAGTTTGCAGGACTCGGGCAGACTTGGAGTGGGGAGCTTCGGTGGTAAAGAGATGCCCCTGGTTTTCTGACTAAGCCTTTCAAGACGCCTTTGGAGAAGACGCTAGTCCCTTCTACAGAGAAAGATTTATCAGTTGTATTCAATTAAGATACCTAGCTTGGGGAGTAAGGAGTGACCGCTATGAGCACGGGCTGGAGGTTTACCACCCCAACTTCTGTGCTAGACAGTTGGGGTTTAGACAAGCTATTCTGGTGCCCTTCTTCGACTCCGTTCATTGCAGTACCTCTTATCGTCTTCATTGTCCACAAGAAGTCACATTCCGAGCTGCCCGACAAAGTCTCAAGGTACTGAGCATGGTTGCCCGAAAGCTCATGGCCTTGAACATCGAATGCACTTCAAGCTTCTTTTCTTGGTGGGAAGAAAAATGGACTAAGAAGTATGGATGAGACCTACGCGAAGCTCATGACCTCATCTTCAAGTAACTATCGATCAAGTCATATCCAAAGCCAAATGAACTTGAAGATTGGAAGGAAATGATTTATCAGAAGAATCAACTCCTTCTGATAGGTACCTTTTACCTT